TTTAATGCCAGATCTCTGAGCCACTTCTGTCTGCTACGCTGATGTGCAAGTAAAACATGAGGTATTTTCTTAAGAAACTTTTCAGTACTGGAGTACATCCCATTCTCCCTAATGTTCATGTGCAATTTCCTTCCAACAAGGCAAGTGCAAATTATTGCACATTTATGTACTTTCGGAGCATCACACACACCCTGCTCAAACATTCTTGCCATCTGAAATCCTACTCAAGACAACAGATATCGAATGATTTTGATATTTCTCAGCTAGGAGCTGCTAAATCCCGTTCAATCTGCTTCTTAATTAAGACTTGGTCTTTCTTTTATTCTAATTGCCCTATAATTGCTAAAGCAATTAGCTTGATGTCAATTTTGATTCAGCTGCATTCAGCGCAGTTGACGATAAGACACTACAGCGGGGCTGTAGGTGGGCACGCACCATCTGTGCCAATGGTGCACCCGCTTTATTTTCCAAGGGCAGCTTTTTTTGTGAACTCAGGGAAGCTCCTTGGGCCTTCTGCTGGGGTTTAACAACTCCCTGCAATGCTCCTTCTGAGCACACACCATAAAACGGGCTCAGCAGCAGAGCTGCCGGTGCTGGAAATGGAGGAAGGCATGGCTTCCAGAAAGCAAAGACGTGGGGACGCAGAGAAATGGAGGATTGCAAACAGAGCGGAGAAAGCGTCAGAAAACATAAAGAAGAGTTAGTTTCTGAGAGAAAGGCGGGAGGACGAGACAGCAGGCAAGGGGATGACACCAACACGGAGACATCCCCAGGCTGCAGGACCTGCCTTCCTGGCACCGTGAACCACGGAGTGCCGCCAAGCTGACCCTACAGAAGCGCCGACGGATCCCGACAACGGCCCTGCTACCAACAGGAACTCCGTTTGTGTCGCTTGTGCGTGAGCACACGGCAGGGACGAGCCCAAGGCTGAATGCGGGGCTGGGTTTTGGACCCTGCCCCGTCCCCACCGTGGGAAGCTCTGGCCCTGGCTGCAGCTCTGGCCGCAGAGAGACGTGAGGGGGCTGACAACGGCTACACAACGGCCACGAAAGACATTTTAAAAGGGCGAGTCCTGCTGATAGAGGAGCTCTTTACAGCTTGAAACCAGCACGGGTGGGGGCTGACGGTGTGGCACCCTCCCGCACCAGTAAGGCTGCACTGGAAGGGGCAGCCTGGGGAAGCGGAGGAGCGGGTGTTTTGGACGTGCCGCAGGGCGCAGGAGCAAGGTCAGCCCCAGGACTGCCCGCACCGGCACTAGCGACAGCGCTCCGCTGCCGAGACACTATTTCTGTTTGGCTTTTTGGCTTGCAGGCTCAGGAACTGTGGGATGTTATGGAAATCTGCAAAAGTGCTAATCAGACAGCAAATTTCAAAGAGGGGAAAGAAGGGTTGGCAGGCAGGGACTAGAGATAAAATGGCAGTCTTGGAAACCTCAAGCATTGTTCGGAAAACTCATCTGGAAACAAATCAAAACTGTCTTTGGACTTGGCTAGTTGGGAGAAAGGAAGTTTAACCAGAAAAGATCAGTGCTGATTCAGGACAAGAAAAAAAATACTTAAAAAAACACAGTCTGGGGCCTTTTTTCCTCCTATTGTGAATGTATTTTAATGAGACTTCATTTTCATTTTTGACTGAACTGTTACGGGCTCTTAAAGCTACCCAGGGCACTGAAATAACTTTGCAGTAATGGAAAGCACAGTTCAGGCTGGCATTACTTGAACTGTTTCACACACGATGAGCGTGGGAGGGCTCGGTTTTTATATCCTTGGGAAAAAAAAAGGTTTAGAGCACAGACGGGATTCACATGCTGCTGCCCTATTAACAAGGCTGACAAGTCATTAGAGATGTCCTCCCAGGAACACGCTACAGCCATTTCCAAAATGTCTTGGTGAGGCTGGGGTGGGAAAAGCACAGAAAACAGCTGCTTATCCCAAGTGCCTGCTAATTTTGGGATGATTATCTGTTTGCATTCTGTGAAGAACCAAACCTCAGCTCCATCCCACATGCAAAAATTTTGGAAGCTTGGACCCAGACCTAAAAGCTGAATTCCAGGACCTTAATTTTCCTTTAACTCCTGGTCCCCTGACCCTGTTAGGAGCCATGCACAATGGTACCATGTTATCTCATGAGGAAGGCTTTTTTCCAGCATTTTCCACCAAAGCGGTAGCAGAAAGTAGAGCCATGGACCATTTTATCTGATTCCCACTCAGCTCTGCAGAAACAGAGGTCTGCATCAATTCTGCAAACGTTGCGAGCTTCCTCTGAACCCAGTCCCAAGGAGCAAGCCTCCTGCTACTCCTTCACCAGATCTCCTGCACGCCCCCAGCCAAACCTCCCCGCGCCAGAGGGTGACTCCATCGCCTTCAGGTGCCCTCCACATGCTCAGACCACTACGGACTGTGGCCTGCAACTCCTTCCCAGTTGAAGACAGCTCCTTCAAATCATTTTTCCCCAAAACACAAATGGATGGACTGTTAGGCAGAGCATTAATACAAAACAAATGTTTCGAGCATGTAGCGCTGACTTACAAGGGAAAATACAAGCACTTGGAATTTTTCCACTGCACAACGGCAGGGACCTTTGCAGCAGCTGTTTCAAATAGATGTTGTGATTAATGGGGATAATTCAGGAATGAAAACCAGACCCATAGTCACACGTCTCACAGACCAGTGCTACAGGCAGGCGGGCAGCCTTTTCTTTTAACCGAGAAATGCCTCTCTGAAGGCAACAGAGTTTGATCTAGAGGAACGCAAGGCACATGGGAGGTGTTTGACTATCGCTAGTATTTAAATCACAGCCCTGAGCTGAAACCAGCCCGTGTGTGAGGAGGTGCCGTCCGTCTGACTGCAGTGGCTCCGTGCTCATTTGCCTGGCGGGGAAGGTCCCGGCTCTGCCGACCAGGACCGAGACCCCTCGCCCCTTTGCATAGCTGAGCTCGTGTCCGCCTGGGACAGCCAAAGGGCCTCTCTGGACATTTCTGTCTGATCAGTTTTCTTCCTCCTCTAAATTTTAACAAGCAGCACGGTTTCTCCTCCGATCAGGTCCCCCACTCTCACTGTGGAGCACACGTGATGCGAAAGGCTCTTGGAAATCAACTCTTCATTGCGCTCCAGTGTGGAAACCATTTGCTCTTCAGAAATGGGAAATAAGTTGCGGTAGAAAGTGCTGCGACGGTCTTCACTGCCATGGCTTCACACTGAGCACGTGAAGCAAGGAGGGGACTGCAAACCCAGCGTGCAACGTTAGCCCCTGCTGAGGACCCCTCCATGGGCGGATGGAAATGCAAGTTCAGCTGGTGGCCCATCAGCTCTGCAAAGGGCCACCGCTGCCCCGCCAACCCGCTCCCGTCTGTACCCTGTCCTTCCTCCTCCCTCCACAGGGCAGGCCAGGGCCGCACAGGACGGGAAAGCCAGCTCACAGCTCCCACCAGCACTGCCCCGGCCGCAGGGACGGCCACTGGCCCCGCCACGGACCCTGGACAAGCCTGCGGTGACGGCATCTCCCCACCAGCCGCTCAGGGAAGGGCGGCACGTCGGCACTTGGGAGCTCCTCACCATTAATTAGCTATGTAACGTGCCCGAGTCTTCAGGCCCGCGTGATAAGACTCGACTTTCCTTTTCTTTTTTTTTCCTCCCTGAGAAAGCCGCCTTGCACAATGTCCATTTTTAGCACAAACTGGAGTTGGATCAGATGCCTCACATGTGGTCTCCGCTCTCCAAAAGGAGAAATCAGCACTTTTTTTCTCCAATGGTTTAACTACAGGCACAAAAACTGAAGATTAAAAATAATTCACTAATTCACTCTTTTCTGCTCTAACCGGCTGGATAGCCGTGCTGCATCGGCACAGCCATCCTCATTCACTCCTGTAACTTTTCTTTCATTATGCTAGCTAATTATGTGAGCTAAAATGAAAGATTATGAACTACAAAACCACAGGCTTTAGGACAAAAACTGATCATCAGCTGGGATCAGAAGACATTACGATATGTAGAAGGACAATACAGTATTGCTTCTGTGGCTATAGCAAACACTTTGGGAAAAGAGATTTTTCAAAGGCTTTTTCAAGGCTCTCCCCTGTGGCTATAATGGGGTGTCCTCCAATTAACTGCCATGGAATCAATTAGGTTATTGCTCAATTCTTCTGGGAAATTCCAACCAGAACTGGCAAATGTTGGAGATAAAGCACTGAGCAGATGGACTGCTGATGTGGTCTGAGATGCCAAATATATTCTTTTTCGTTACCATCAGAAGACATTCAGGCTTCTGGGACAGACATCCCCCCTCTCCTGCTAGGATCTGTCTGGCCAGTGTGGAACCCGGAGGACACCTCCTGTGCGAGAAGCCCCACATACCAACAGGCACCAACACGGAGCGGCCCCCTGCCCCGGCATCGCCATCCCTCCCGACAGCCAGGGCTCTTGCACTCGAGACAGACAATGCTGAACTGGCTGGCAACCATCAGTGCGGCTGCGCGAGCTGGTCAGAGAAAACAACAAATAACTGGAACGGTTTCCAAAACCTCAAGCCATTCTGGTTATTTTTCAGCTCCCCTGCGGCTCTCTTCTCAAGCATGGTGAAAATGTTAGTTCGTGCTCTGGCCTTCGGAAAGGCCTGCTGCGAAGTCTGATCTCACCAAATCCCCAGGCAGAAGTGGAAAAGCAACTGAACTTAAGGTTGCTTTTCCACACTTGAACCTTTCCATACACTGGAGTTTGTCAACTGCTAGTGACCGTTCAAGTGGCAACGCCGGCAGGCATTGAGGTCCTCAGCTGTCCCATGCACCCATCACCACTGCACGCAGTGCTGAACTCGCACCCACAGCAGCAGTGATCTGGTTCTCTTACTCTGAGATAGCTGTACATGCAGATGGACATCCAGTTGGTGAGCATCTTCTCTACCACAGATTCCGTTCTCCTCAGCATCAGCTTGGGGTTTTTGGAAGCTGAAGCATCTATTAGATCCACCAAGAGGTCCTTCATGATGCTGGTGTAATACTCCAGTTTCCCATGCAACGCAATAGTAAGCAGGGAGGCCAAGTTACATCTGAAACACAGAATTGTGTATGACTCAAGCACCAATCCAACAAGACTTAAACTGCTGACCGGCATAAAAAAAACCCAAAACACAAAGGCAGTATTTCAGACAATTTCAAGAGCCTTCTCAATGGTGTTAAAACTTCAAACCCTCTTTCAGTGCTGCAGGACCTTGGGTCAGCTCACACCGTATTACTGGTAAACCAAGTGTTCAGAGATACAAACACTCACGAGTGAGTCACTCGTACCTTTTGGTGCTTTTCAGGATAACAGAGGTTTATGGCCGTCCGTTTCTAATAGAAAAGTGGGAGGCAAGCGTAACTCAACCTTCAACTGAAATGCACGGCTCCAGACATGGGCTGGATTGCTTACAGGTTAGGAACAAAGTGGCCTCCTCCAGCTGCCAGGTCTTTGGTTCTGAAGCTCATACCTGTCTCTAACAGCAAAGTCCTTCTGTTGCTCAAGAGCATGGACAAACACGATGAGAAAGTGCTTGTTGTTGAGTAAGGTGGAGAACAGCGAGATGCCTTCTTCCATGTTGGGTCTGCAGTTTTCAGGGATCTAAAGAAAAAATTAGAAAGAAGAGTCAGAAAAACCCTGCTTGTTGTTTTCCTCCAGTTTTTATCCTTCCTGACAGCAAGGATGCCCCTGCTGAATGTGGAGGTACTGAGCTGAAGACCCCTTACTCCCTCTGCTTGATAGAAGACAGCAGCATGCTTTCCTGGCGAGGGTACGACTGCATGGGATACACGGCTGTATCATCAGAAGCAGCTTGGCCAGCGGGGCTGTGGCAGTGGCCATTCCTCTCTGTTAAGCACTTGTGAAGCTACCTGGAGTACCGTGGCCAGTTTTGGGCTCCCCCGCTACGAGACGGACGTTGGCAAACCAGATCAAGTGCAGCTGAGGGCTGCCAAAACAACCGGTGTACAAGAAGAGGTGGAGAGGGCTGGGTTTGGTCAGCCTTAAGAGGAAACGTAAGGGGAGATCTTACTGCAGTCTTCAGCTGCCCTGTGGGAGGGCAGAGAAGACAGGGCCAGGCTCTTCTCTGCTGGCACAGTGCTAGGACGAGAGGCAAGGGACACCAGATGGGGCATGGGACACTGCTTAAATATAAGGAATGCAGTTTTCACCTTTAAGGTGGTCGGACACTGGAACGGGGCCCTGAGAGGCTGTGGGATTCCTGTCCTTGAAGATATCTGACACAGCCGGACAAGGCCCTCAGCCACCTCATCTAGTTGGAGCTGCTTTAAGCAGATCTGCCTTCCAAACTAAGCGACTCTCTAATCCTTCAGTTCCTACTCCTTGTCCACATGAAACCCAGCTCTGGGACAACAACCGCTTCTACCAAGTCCCTGCTTGGGAGGAATCTCATTTACGATGAACTGTGTATGTGACGGCAGTGACATACACTACGACACATCCAGGAAGAAAAGCCCACAGCGGAGCCGGGGAGGATCTCAGGGCAATGCTCCTTCATGCGAGAGCAGATCCACAGATCTGTCTTCTCCGATCAGCCAAAGCTGATGCGATGCTGGTATGTGTTAATTGTTTTGAGTGATCAAGCATCCCACATGCACCACAAGAAAACACATGGCATTGTCAACACACACGAGTATGGTTAGCAACCACTCAAAAGCATTTGTTTTGTTAGTGGGTTACTCACTTTCCATTCCCCCGCCAGGAGCGGATGAGTTTCCTGGACCTGGGAGCCCACCTGGGAGCTGAGCTGCTGGGACGGGAGGATGTAGCACTCCTCGTAGAGCGAGGAACACTGCAACCAAGCACAGCGTTAGGGGAGGGCGGCTGCACCCGGCCAGGGACCTCCTCGTTTGCCGTGCACCACAACGGAACGAGACGGAGAGGCATGTCATCGGGACTGAAGACCACCCATTATGAAGAAACGCATTGCTATGGTTTACGAAGCCTTTAAACACTTTGCAAGAGCCTCTTGAATGAGCGAACACCACAAGAACGGGGTGAGGCACATGTCTGCGCAGACACAAGGCTGTTAGGGTAGGGAGACTGTAAATAGACTAATTTGACAGCTAGAAAAATCCCAGAAGAGAAACCATTATAGAAGACTAAGTCAAAATAGAGGAGTACTGGGTGTTTTAACATATGTAACTTTCGAAACAGATGGGAAAAATGTTTAAATCTCTAGCATTCACATAGCAGCTTGAACCTTGAAGACTCTAGTGTGCAGATATATAGAGACTGGGTAACTTGAAAACCTGAGTAATAACTACTAATGAAACACTCTGCAGTCATAAATCATCATCTCACTCCTCACCACTGAAATGCAACTGCCTCAGGGGTGAAATAGAGCCGCTGTTCAGGGCGCACAGCGAGCAGCCGGTGACAGGAATTACGGCACCGGCGCGTCTGGTGCGGCCCCGGAGAAGGACTGGCAGACAGACTGGGACTGGGCACCCAAGGGGCATCTTACTGGGAGCACCATGCACCTAACCTTTGAGAGAGAGGAGGGAAAGGGGGAGATGGAGACATCTAACGAGATCCCGAGGACTGGCAGAGCAGCTGGGAATGCTTGGTGGCACCCTGCGTGGAACAAAAAGCCCCCTCTCCCTGAACGCCGACTGCAGATAGGCCCTTCAGCCGCCCTTCAGCCTCAGCCTTCGCCCAACAGCGCGGGGTGGCACTGGAGTCCCTGGGGAGAAGGGGGAGCCCCCAGCGCTTTCTGCTCACATGAACGAGCGCTTTCAGAAGAGAGTGTCCAACGGCATCAAACGGACAAGGCAGAGCAACTCCAGGACGGTGCCGCCGCCGGGTTTGTTTCTCTCGTGTGCAAGCAAGCCCAACCCTACTTCACACCCCAGGAGCTGCAGCTCCACTTTTGACGATAATTGAGGCTGAAATACGTGACAACTAAATATATAACAGTGGAATGATTTTGCTTCACTGTAACAACCCTTTAGCAGAGGGAAAGCAGAGCCTGATCTGGTTAGGAAGGACCTGGGAGCGATTAGGTGCCCGTGAAAGGCAGTATCACCTTACTTTGGGGAAGAACGTCCGGGTGACAAAGTGCTTGTACTCCAGGAACGGGATCCCCTGGCTGCGGTTTAACTCCTTGGTCAGGTCTGTCATGTCTGTCTGCAGTTCCGCAAAACCTTACAGAGAGAGACCCGCAGATGGTAAGAGCTCCGATACTCTACCAGCTGAGACAGTAAGCGGGCTGGCACTGAAAAACATGGCATGTCTCATCTCTGCCTCCTCGAGCCTCTCCCTCGCGTGGGCTGAAGCAGGGTTTTCTCAAGGAGCAGCAGATTACCGCCAGGGTTTAACCGTCAGCACTATACATCACGCCCCGCAGCACTGACAGAGAGCACACGTCCCCTGCCCCCCGGCCGGCCCCCACCCTGGTTCCGCCAGAGAAGGACCGCAGCCGACGCTGCAGTCACGGACCGCCGGGACAGCAGATGCAGACGCTGGGATTGCTTCTCCCATTGCTCTCGCGGGAGTATTCTGCAATTTTTGTTGCCCTCAATTGTAAAGCACGCTAAAGATTAAGCCAGGCCTTCAAGCAACCCTCTGACGTGGCCAGGGGCCATTAACCCCGAGAGAGGGAAAGTGGTGGCACTGAGGATCAGTGGCTTGCCCAAGTCAGGCAGCAAGACAGCAGCAGAGCCACGCTTCCAGCCACTGAGCCTCATTCACAAACCCTGCCGAAACTCAAAGGCAATGACAGAAATTCTCCTATAAATAATTCTGTAAACTTCTGCAGAGTGAAAAGTGAACGGCTTCAAGCCTGCTATTCTGGCATCTCCCGTCTAGTTCTGGCTCCTTCCCAGTGCCCAGCACAGTGACTTACCTTTGCGGATTTCCTCCCGGATCTGCGACTCCATCTCCTCCATCTGGAGCAGGGTTTTCTGCCAGTAGCGCTCCGCTCTGCGGCTCTTTGTGCAAAACACAAAGAGAGCTGGAAAAAGAGGAAGGGAACAAGCGTTTTGGACGAGGGCTTAGGAACAGCTGCAGCTGGGATCAGAGCGGTCCTCTGCTGACACGGGTGCAGAAATCTAAACTCAGTGTTGGTTTAACACCTACAAGAAGACTGGTATCTGATCAGGCAGCTGTCGATTATCTGTAAATAAGTAAAACCAGCTGGAACTTAATGATCATGCTGTAACTGTCATCTTCAATTTAGGTCTGGGCTGTCTATATTCAGCTTAACTGTACATTAATGTATTCCAGCTGATTAATGAATACAGATTTTAAGATGTTGACCACCTGTATTACAGCATTCATGTCTGACAGTCTTCCCATGCCTCCAGAAATACGTTTCTAATGATGGGTGGTGCATTTAATAAACAGTGTGCATTATAACATTTATTAAAAATAAATTAAACCCCTATTAGAAACACCTCATTCGCTGTGAACTGACAGGTTTCTTGCTACGCAGCCATTCTGGGCATGCGATGAGAAGATGCCCTGGCCAGAGGACACAGGTGTGTTGCACAGCTTCCAGTGAGGTTAGCAAACTGTTGTGTCTGTTCCAGATCTGCAGCTAAGGATGCTTGCTCCGTTCTTCACACTCTTTGCCAGGTGCCTGCCCTAGGTGGACCTTTGGGATGGTCACGGACAGCCGTGCCTGTGAGTGAGCCCTGTTCAAGTCAGTACAAGTCCAAGACCAGTTTCTCACACCTTTCTCTATTTCGTATTATAGTAGCTACTCAGTGTTTGGAGGAAAAGGGTAGCTTTATAAATATCAGAGGCTCAAGTAACAGTTGAACTATGGATTCAGCCAGCAAATGCTCCATGCTGCATGGAACTTTGATCCTGAGTACTGGCTTGGTCCCGTACAAAGAAGAGTGACTACTTGCTGTACCCAGACCAGTTTCAGATACTACGCAACTGCACCACTCAGAGGTTTCTTAAAATGTGAGTGAGCCACCTTCACCCTTCCACATGCAATGAGAAAAAAAACCTCGGCACAGCCTGGAAATGCATCATTCTGTTCCCTTACCTACGACAGAGAGGACCAGCAAGATGCTGCAGATGACAATGGAGACGATGATTGCGGTCTCTCCTCCCCCAAGGTGCAGCATCGCAATTGTGTAGTTGAACTTTCCAACTTGGATCTAGAGACGGAGAAGGAGGGAGGAAAAGCAGGAGCTGAGCAGCACGTTGCCAAGCGGCTCAGAGGTCGGGCAAGGAGGGCTACGGGACAGCGCTCAGCAGACCTTTGCCCAAGGACGTACTGACCACACTGGCTCAGCCCACCAGGCTTCACAGGGAGGCTGGGCTGTGCCTTTCACTGCTGGACCTTGGGGACTTTGTGTGTCTCAAAAGAGCCCAATTCCCTTCCTGCATGTGCTGGTGGAAAGCCAAGGATGGCTCGCAGGAGGCTGCGGCACCGCAGCCCACGTCATGGCCCCACCGTACCCACCCCAGCCCACAAGACAACCCTTTCTTAGAGAGCTCACCATACCATACAGTACCGCCTGTACTACTTTTAGTAGAAAACTACTTCCACTAACCATCCAACTTTGTTATATCTCTGAATGGCCTTTGAATCCCAGCTGCACTCCCCTTTCTCCTCCAAAAGCAGAACTGCTGCCACTCAGGAGAAGGAGGGTAAAGAAACTTTAACGTAAGGGAATAAAAATAGATAATAATGACACCAGAGACGAGTAATGATCTTGCAGCTAAAGCAGTGGACTGGGTGGCAGGAGGTGCTGGCTCTGCTCCCAACCTGTACTTCTTGTGACACCAAGTACAAACCACTTGAGCTCAGTCCTGCGGTCTCCTGATCACCAGAAGGGAAGAGGCCAACACACATCACAGGCAGGCTGGCGAGTTTCCTTGGCACTATTTATAAACGGCTCTTTAGGTCCCTGGGATGAAGGGGTTCAACAGCACCATCTGATAAGGAAAACTCATGACCACACAAGTCTTTCACTTCTGGAAATGCGAGTTTCACTTCTCTCAAGGAATCAGAAGCGACAGAAACTTGAGCAAAAAAAATCAAAATGAGGTAAGGAAGAGATAGAATCACCTTATAATTACATCTGTGCCACAGAACACCTCCAGGAAAGTGCACACCGTGGTTAAATTACAGTCAGCTCTCAGCAGCTGGGACAAAGTAGTGCCACAAGCAGGGCCTTCCCATCATGTCCACGCATCAAACACCGTGTGGTGCACAGCTCCATGCCCGCCGGGAAATCCAAGCCCTTGCCCTTGGGAGCACTGGTGAGGGCACTGATGCCGCCAGCCGAAGGCATCTGGAGAAGCCTGGAGGTCTGCCCCTGCGCTGCTCCCTCCACAGGCAAGGGAAGAGGGGCTGCCCTGCCACGGGAAACGCCGGCTGCCATCACCCAGGGGGTCAAGAAAACCTTCAGTGCCTCCGACCATCAGTGCTGGACCACACGGCCAGGCTCCCGTGGCTGCAAGCCCCAACGTGCCCTTGCACCAGCCCTCCGGCGGACTCCGGCGCTGGCGGTTTCTGAGGATGGGGATGGGGAGCCACGAGCGCTGCACAAGCATCTGCAGAGGTTTGTTTGACAGTCTGCACAGCACCCTGCCTAGCCTCAAGATTTCCACCTCTTTCATCTAAATGCTGCAATGAGGCAAGTCCTCAATGGATTTTTGAGTCTTTTTTTTTTTCATCAACTCAACCTTTTGCATTTGCCAGAGGAGAAATCCCAGGCTTGCCGTTTAATTCAGTGTTTAAATAAATCCCAGGCTTGCTGTTTAATTCAGCGTTTAAACAGTTTGGTCATGAACAAAAATGGGTTTGAAGGCCTCGGCAAGCTTCTCTTGTTTATTTGGTCAGATCTACTCAATACAATTTTTTGTAAGGGGAATTAATTAGGCTTCGGGTTATATGGAAACATTTCCTGTCACCAGCACGTGGTGGGGTGCAGAAGGGGCTGGGGCCAGAGGACACCCCGCTCCCGGGAAGAGCTGTCGAGGCTGGCCAGGACTCCTGGGGCACGGGGCCACCTCAGCTTATGAGATGGAGCCGTCTTGCAGCCTCCCAGGGTGCGAACGGGATCCCATTGGGACTAAACTAGACCTAAATCAAGCTCCAGCTCACCTAAGGCACTCCCAAAAGAACCACTCGAAAGTGATCCCCAAAACACAGGGAGGCTCAGGAGCCCCATCTTCATCACCAGCTCCTTCTCTCTCCAGACAGCTCCTGCCGCCTGTGCGACTTGCTAACATGGACTTGGCCTGAGAACACCTTCACAGAACAGGCATACCTAAAATCACAGTCAGAATTAAGATCAACAGTGGGACACGTTTTAAAGGGCTGTTTTCCTGTGCTCTGCTCACTGCAGATCTGAGCTCCACCATCTAAACAAGAACAAACTGGGCAGTCGCAACAACAGGCATCTTGGCTCACCAGCAGAGAGAATCTGCATCAGCAGGCCAGGCTTCTGCAGCCCCCGATAGCTGTCCTTGATGCAAATCAGGCAGGGACCACTGCGCAAGTCTGGCCCCGCGTTACCAAAGCTACTACAAGGATGTTATAAAGGCAACTGTTGCCGATGAAATGGCCAGCAGGTGATAACTCAAACCACATATGAAGGTTTAATAAGTGCACACAGATGTGAATCCAAGTTGATTATACAGCTGCACTCTCACTGCTGGTACACTCTTAATAGCTATGCGATACTTTAGGGCTGGCTATCATTCTCCTGCTTCCTAGGGACCTACTAGGGCATTGCCCTGAATGTTTTACGTCAAACCAAGACTAGCAAACTCATAAATTCCTTTTCTTCCCCAATGGGATTTCCCTGTTTCTCAGTGCACACTAAAACCAAAATTACCCTATCTAAAATTTCCATTAAAATTAGTTGGGAAATTCTGCTACTTCTGCATTTCTATGTTTCCAGTTTCAACAGAATTTCATACCCCACAGACTGCAACCAGTAAACTGAACAACCCTGGCAGTGAACTGGTGCTGTATCTTTGTGCCTTTCTTCTGGGCAGCACAAGTCCACAGCCTCCTCAACTTCCTTCGCAGCCTTCCTCCTCCTCCTCCTCCTCCCTGCCCACGCTGCAGGCTCCCACCCATCCACTGTTAACACATGGATTGGGAGGGGGGCTGCAGGGTCTCAGACCACGGAGATGGAGGCATTTTCTCTCTAGATACGAAGAGCCAGAGTCACATCCCTGTGTGGCAATGGGCTGTATATGACATGAGGGAAACTGAGGGCAAGAAGGGCAGTTAAGTCAAGCCCTCCGTGGAAAAAAAGGACAGTAACAAAGTATTGTGAATTTTACAGACGCAGAGGTGAACAACAGCCCTGGACACCGAACTCTCCACAGTGACAAACTGGCAGCCCCTGGGAAGCAACACAAAACTTTCCAGCCCTGCGTACTCCTCTCGCCCTCCCCGGTCACACACAGGACCCGTCTCCAGTGGCTCACTGCAGCTCGGTAAGGGTCGGACTCTCACGTCCATTCCTAGCTCTTCTGCTGGCAGCGGGAGGCCAGCTGACTGAAAACGGTATGGAAATCCCCAAACGTATCTCATGAGGGGTAGAAAGAAAATTACTCCAAGTGACAAAAACTCACATGCCTGGGATTTCACAGGGCCTTACAAGAACTGACAAAATCTTCCCCCTCCAGCTGGCAGCACAATGAACTCAGCA